CAGTCCAGTTGATGAACTATTTGTGTTGATGTAGACAAATGAATGCTAAAATGAACAAACAAATCATAATCTGTTGTTGCATATATAACTAATATGGTGCTCGTAGAACTGTTGTATAGAAGCACACTCGAGGTCCTGATGTTGTACTGAATATCAGCACGGCTGTGATTTGGTCATAGGTATCGAAGACAATCATAGCCATGCTGATATTCAACATCACTCATTCTCTATTCTTTGTTTTCTATCACAGGAACTGAATCTCTGTGAGACAAAACTGAGACCGACGTTCTTCAATGTCCTCTGACTTTTTACAGAACAAACTCAAAAATTTTTCCATTAATTAAACCCCAAAAAACCTTCTTACAGTATCCCTCAACCCAAAGTGACATCTTTGAAATATTAGTTCAGCAAATCTTCACATTTGAGGAAATGGAACCATGAAGTTATTTTAGCTTCAGGTCAAAACAGCCACTGATTATTTTAGATAACAGACAAATCAACTGACATCATTTTCATTCACTGTTGAGTATTTTTTTTTTTTACACTGCATCATATTTTAAAATGTCTTCAGTTCTTTTATGTGAAGTCTTAATGTGAAAAGTGAGCAGTGATTATACCTGTAAAATAAAAGTCCAACATATCCCTCACAGCTCACCTGTCTATCTCTGTGACATCACAGTTCACCTGTCTGTGTCCTTGCGACATCACAGCTCACCTGTCTCTCTGTGACATCACAGTTCACCTGTCTGTGTCCCTGCGACATCACAGCTCACCTGTCTCTCTGTGACATCACAGTTCACCTGTCTGTGTCCCTGCGACATCACAGCTCACCTGTCTCTCTGTGACATCACAGTTCACCTGTCTGTGTCCCTGCGACATCACAGCTCACCTGTCTCTCTGTGACATCACAGTTCACCTGTCTGTGTCCCTGCGACATCACAGCTCACCTGTCTCTCTGTGACATCACAGTTCACCTGTCTGTGTCCCTGCGACATCACAGCTCACCTGTCTCTCTGTGACATCACAGTTCACCTGTCTGTGTCCCTGCGACATCACAGCTCACCTGTCTCTCTGTGACATCACAGTTCACCTGTCTGTGTCCCTGCGACATCACAGCTCACCTGTCTCTCTGTGACATCACAGTTCACCTGTCTGTGTCTCTGTGACATCACAGCTCCCCTATCTGTCTCTGTGACATCATAGTTCACCTGTCTGTGTCTCTGTGACATCACAGCTCACCTATCTGTCTCTGTGACATCAAAGCTCACCTATCTGTGTTTGCTGCTGATGGGATTTTCAGAATAAAATGATGCCTGACATGAACAAACAGATCAGTTGAACAAACTGTGGCTAATTTACTTGAGTCAGTTGATTCCTCCAGTCTTGTCTCAAAAGAGTCCATAAGAGTCCAGACGAGTCCAGGTTCAGTATTTAACCAGAGCTGAGAAGGTGACAGCTGTGGGAACAGCAGCTGTCAGAGACATGTTTCCAGATCGATGACATACTTTAATCCTGGTGAACCACAGGACAACTCAGTTCATCCTTTTAACATTTTTAAACACTCCACATACATGTACAGCAGAAGAGGCAGAAACAGACACACTAATAACAGAGGAGGTAAAGAGAAAAATCAAACAGGGAAATTGATGATAGTGATTCTTGATGTTTGATTATTTATCATCTGTGAATGTAACATTCAAATGAAATTATTCCCTCCTGTGTTGCTAAAAGAGAAAAACATTTGGATTCATGAGTGGAGTTTTGAAGTGAAAACTTCATGTCCAAATCTGATTATCTGGAAAGTTATATTCTGGATAAACCACTTCAGGGCGTTTAAAAAACACAGTTGAGTTAAAAATGGTAAAGCTAATATCAGTTTGGAAAATTTGGAAGAGCATTTGGAAAATAAAATCCTTGAACTGATTCCAGCAGAGTGTTGTGATATCTGCAGCGGGAACAGAAGGTTCTGCAGTCTGGACTGTTCCCACAGCACTCATCAGTGATGTACTGTGGTATAAAAGGAGTGAGGAGGCAGAGGACAGCTACACAGCAACCTGCACAGGTTCAGAGGGTAAGTGACCACAATAACTTTAGACAGGAAATAATAATAAGATGAATCACACATTTCAACAGGCTCTAAAGAGGAAACTGATCTTTTGATTTATTTCTCCTGCAGAAGAAGAAACAGAGAAGATGAAGGTCTTTGCTTTTGCTCTCCTGCTCCTGGTGGCCGTCACCTATGGTAAATACCAATGATCAGGGTTCCCGCTCTTTTCTACACATCATCTTTCAGGACTTTTCCAGTAATGATCTAGCTCATATGACCATAAACCAATATGTTCCTATCTCATGCATCTAGTGTTAAAGCAATCATGACCTCGCTCACTCACGAGACAGGAAGTGTATAGCATTTAATGTGTCATCGTTTTACCTGAACAACGCAGCATTTGGTTTGAAGTGAAGCTAACAAGGATGCTAGCAAAGTAAAAAGTGCAGTTAGCAAGTATTTAGCTGGTATTGACTTCACAGTTATTGTTTTCCAACTCTCAGCAATGAACCAACACAAATTTAAAACTTGGCTGTCAGAGCTAATTCACAAACCTTAGCCACAGGCTAAACAAGCTAGCAAGCTACTGAAGCTAACCATTATTCAACAGTTTCATCTATTTCAAGTTCATCTATAAACCTAATAAAAACTACCACAGTTAGCAGCCAACAGTGACTTATTTATATTTAAAGGATGATGTAACTTACATTCTTCACAGTCATAAATAATCCAACCTAAGGTGACCAAATTTCTGAAATGAAAACATTTCCAGTTATATATGTACATAACTTTGCCCAAAAATCAGATAATGTTGAAATAATTTTCCAGGACATTTGGCTTTTTCTCTCATTTTCCATGACTGGAAAACTGGTCAGCTGTTTTCCAGGACGTGTTGGAACCCTGGGGGAGTTTTAGCTGAACATTGATTAATCAGTATTACCTGTAAGCAGTCTACAGCCTGTGCTGTTTGTGTCCATGTGTGACAGGTGAGGCCCTGCAGTGTCACAACTGTGTCCGTGAGGCTCCTGACACTCCAGACTGCGTGGAGACTGTGGAGACCTGTCCCCCAGAGATGGACACCTGCGCCAAAATCACCTACCCCGCCCCTTACGGTCAGTACTGTCACAGACAAACCAAAGAAAGCATTCAATCAGTTTATTTATATATCAGTCATAATATTCTGATCTGGCTTTGCAGTGAACACCTTCCACAAGTCCTGCTTCAAGATGCGTGAGTGTCTGAAGCTGGCTGTCACTCAGGGTCTGAAGGTCAGCTGCTGCAACTGGGACGGCTGCAACAAATAAGACTCCACCTGGACCAGGAGACAACATCATGTGACAATAAAAACTTGAAGCATGCACAGTTGGTCAGCTGTTTTCTTCCTGATTTGATCCAACATGTGTAGACCCGCAGGACATGAGTGTAATTCAGTGCCTCACTTTTAAAGTCAGCATTTGTCTTTGTGCATCAAACAGTGGTGACATTAGCTCCTAGGTGGCAACAATCAGACTGAGATGTAGGTACAGTAACCAGTGAGGATACATGAGTATATACGTGGTCCATATCTTTTTTCATATTAACAGTTGAGTAGTTAGTGAGACTGTCTGAACAGCAGGTGCTGAGATCCCTTTCAATTGTCTCCAGACAGCAGAGTGCGCTGAAGCTTCAGCTCATATACACAGCAACAACGTATGAAATTAAATGCAGTGGATTTATACAAAAAGCACAAACATCTCATTCAAAACGTAAAACACTGTATATATCTTTTAAATGATTTAAGGGCTGTGGTAATGCTTCTTTATTGACTAAAAAGCATCACCATGGTCTTTAGTATACAGTATATATACTTACTAGATGTCCTGCAGAGCTCTCAGCCACATGTTAAATCATCATCACCAGAAAATGCACCTGCTGTTTTCAAAGTCAACAGCTGCTGAAGGACATGTGGTTGAAAGCTCTGGAAGTAAAGCAATAAGTGGGACAGCAGATTGATTTAAACTGAACAAACCTCAGAGACGTGACATTTGATGGTCAAATCTTTATTAATGCCAACTCATTCATGTTCATTGGTTTAATATAAATGAAGTTTAAACAGCAGTCATACAAAAGTAGCTGAACTGACGAGGAGCCTCCAGTTGTTTGATGGTGACAGCTGATGGCGAAGCGTTGTGTTTCACAGTGCTGCTTCAAGCTAACGCTCTCCATCAGCCTCAATCAAGATCAACAGCTAAAACACATGTACTGATCTAAACAACAGCTTTTTCAGGCCATTTACACCGTCAAAATAAAACGTCTTCAAGCTGAAACAGACAGACAGACAGACTTCTACTGGCCACAGGAAGAGAGAAGAGTGTTATTACACAGTTTAAGTGGATTTTCATTTGTCACATGAACAGTCAGTGAAGATAAAGCTCCAGTCGTACAGTGTGATCAACCCTCAGGGTTTTCTTGTACCTTCTACTTGTTTCTGGTGCAGTGTTGAAACCTAAACAGGGTCCCTCTAATGAACCCCCTCTTTCTCCTGCTCTGTGTGAACCAAGTCTGTATCAAGTATAAATGTAGTTTTTAGTAAAATACATCATGCAAACACATCAACTGAAAAATAAAGGCCTAAAGCTGGTTACACCAACTGGTCTTAAGTCTTCCTCTTACTAAGACCTGTTGTAAATCTGTCGGAAATCTAGGCTGCTCCTATAGTAACGACTTTAGACGTCTCATTTATAGAGTTTATAACTAGAAGGGATAGAAACAATAGACTACAGCGAATGAGAGGTTTGGTCTGTAGGACAGATCAATGTGTACTATGAAGAGTTGTACCTGGATCACCATGCAGACCTGCAGCTCCTTACTGCACAAAGTGTTGGTGACGTGATCTGCATCGCAAGTCCACCACCTGTCTCTTATTTTATGTCCAAAACTGTCTGCATATCAAAGCTGAAAAGCCGAACAAATGATCTATGTGTCAGCATGATGGACAGCGCCATGGGCCAGTAAAAGACTCTGTCCATGGTTCTGACCTGACGGATCACTCCACCTGTTCTATGACTTCATCCCATTTATATCCTCACCTCATGATGATGTAAATATGAAAGAGAAAATCAGAGAAACAAACTCAACACTTAGAAATAATTTACACAAAATCAGAAATGATACAAATTAGCAAGACAGCGGAGATTGTAACAACGTATCCTAGCAACACATACTGCTAGGCAACAGCCGTAGACATGTGGGCAGTCACATGAACGTGCATCAGGCTTCAGCATGATGTAAAGTTGACTCACTAAAACAGTGGCTTCAGTCTGAGAGGAAATAAAACTGAACGTCAGGAGGATGGTGTTTCTTAAATGTTGACACAGTGTGAGACATAAGACTGAGTTTTGCTATTGTTGGTGGCTAACATTAGCATCAACAGCTGTTTACTTAGCAAGAGCTTCAGCCATCATTGGACTTACAATACAAGAGGCTATAATATGCCAGTGGCGCAACTACTTCTTCAAGGGCAGATTGGAGGCTACAGTGACTCGGTATCAGAAAGTGACGAGACGTGGCAGCTGACCAGTTTTAGCTGGTTAGCATGCTAGCTTTAATAGAAGAAGTGATAGAAACAGAAGCAAACAAGGGGGGTGTGAGTAAAGGAGTGACAATTGATGCTAATGCTAACGTTAGCTACATAGCAATAGCAAAATGTAAAAATAGCTCCTTTAAACTGATGAAGTAACAGATGAGAATACAACACATTCAATAACAGAGAAAAGAGGGAGTGTAACAGTATTATATTGTCAAGGTGTGTGATTTGATGTAACACTAGAGGGAGCAGTTTCAACCACCTGTCTGAACACACACACGCACACGCACGCACGCACACACACACATACGCACACACACACACACACACTTTTGGTGCATATTTTAACTCTTGTACATGCAAACAGCTTGTATGAGCACAATAAGACATTAACTATAGTCAACACATAGCCACTCTTATCAACAGGGGCTCCAGCAGAGAGCCCACGGGGCCCAGAGCCACAGTGCTTCACTTGTATTTTCTTTGCAGACTAAAAAAACGTCAGCCCCGTTTTTGTTTTTTTAACCATGGTGATGAAGAGCTTGATGTGAGTACATTCAAAATAAAAGCCGCAGGAAGCTCAAACAGCAACACATCTCTACTATACTACAACCAAAGCACAGTAACTGAAATAACCCACAAATAACACTGTCAGAGGAGCAGACTCCTCAGCCTGGAGTAATGTTTTCATGTCTGTGACTGAGTGAGGCTTCATCCATCATTAAAAAGCTGAGACATCCAACAGCAGTGAAGCAGACCCACGTCACCTCAGGTGGATCTGAAGGCGAGTAGACTGCAGGTCTAACACCCGGGGCAGAGGTCAGCAGTTGGACAGGTATGAGACAGGTATGAATCACTTCCTTCTTCGGTGTCTCCTTCACTTCCCAAACTCCACGAGGAAACATGACTTCTTAGGATGATGCTGCATTCATGTCATGTGGGAATAACGTCACTCTCATGCTCTGGTACAGACTTTATTTTGCTGCTGAGCGGCTTCGTCTCACGCAAACACACTCAGTCACGGTACATGTCATGACCACAAACCAAACATCAGCAGAGTCTCCGCCCACTGCATGCAAAACACAATCATAAACAGTTTACATTATTATACTAATATTTCCTTCAGCTACATCTCATGTCATCTGATGCTTAACTGAACAGGAAGCTCATATCCCCTGTCTTTCCCATGGGACATGAATGCAGCATTCGTCAGTTTTCTGTCTCTGTCCAATGAAACGCTTGTCCACAGGGTGCCTTCCCAATGTCCCCCAAACCCTCGCAGCTCAGAGAGTGTCACCTCAGGATGGAATGTCACAGTCCTTATGCTGCCGTCCCCCCGTGCCGCCGCTCACTGCTTCACCCCGGGGCTGTAGTCGGGCCGCCGGGTCTGGATGATCTTGGGTCGCGGGGGGCGGGGCTTGTCATCCTGGTCGCTGTCGTCGGGGGCAGAGCTGTCGCCATGCTCGTCCTCGCAAACGTGGACGACCACGCTGGGGGTGGTGGGCGTGGCGGTGTGGAGCTCATACTTGTCACCTGGGAATCACACAGAAGTAGAACGTTGGCATTAGCAGTTAGTTTTCATGATGATCTTGGGCAGCTTGGACTGATTGCTATAGGGACAGATTTCCCCCTGTGTAACATCAGTGTAGGGTTAGGTGTACCTGGTCCTAGCTTCGATATGGCACACAGCAGGTCGTAGTTGATGACCGGCGTGGCGTCCTGAGACTGTTCCCAGCCCACTGGAGGGGAGGCAGGGGGGGAGATCAGGAACTGCTTCTCTGGTTTGGGGGGCTCCAGTCGAGGACTCCCTATATGGACAGACTACAGGAAAGAGGAGCAGAGGTGAGGCCTGGTCACAGTTGCAGTGAATGAAGCATCTTTGCTTCGTCAAGTCATTATTCTGAAAAGATATTTCACATCTTCCTTTTCTTGGGGTTAGGGTTATTGATTGTTATTGTTGTTATTAAGAGATTTAATGCCATTATTTTTTAATTACAGACATTTTTATTTGAAAATGTAATTTTTTTTTTTAAACTTTTCATGACAGTGATGTCAAAAGTCATCAACTTTCTGCCAATTAGCAGAAAGTTGATGACTTCCAGTTAGCATCTGTTAGCCAGAGCAACAAAAATGCTAAAGAAACTCTGAATCGTCCAACTAGAAGCTGCTGCTCAACACACACTATATAACTGGCTAATAGCCAGGCTAGGTGGTATCCTTGGATTATTAGTCAGCATCACAGTCAAGTGTTAGCAGTGTTAGCTAGCTGCTGCCATGTAGAACAACCAGTGAGAACCCAAACATCTTTAATCAAATCAAAACTTTGCTGGGGTAACATTGACCACTGCTGCTGTTAGCATGATCCATCACAACCCAAGCTAGTTAGTTAGCTGGCTAGGTAGCTAGCATTGTTAAGCTACATAAAAGCAGAGGTTACACTGTTTATTTGCACCAGCAGCCTCCAGTTGGTTGGTTTTAAATTATTTAGGCATCGTTGTTGCTCCAGCTAACAGAAGCTAACTGGCTGCATTTGGTAGCAGTTGTTGAGTTATCAAAGCAAGGCTGGTGGCATGTGATTGGCTGAAAGCCAACACCACTGTCATGAAATAAAAAGTGCCATGAAATAAATTGGAAAACACGTCTTTAAGAAATTAATATTTTTATAATTGAACACCAATAAAACTTAAAATTAGAATGATGAATATTTCATAATAATTGAATTATTTGTTGTTGTTTTAAGTTTCTTTCACTCAATCTATTTGTGAGATTATTTCTTACTCAAACATTATTTAATTTAATATTGACCTCTTTGGGCCTCCAGACCATTGACAGTACCCAGAAACAGTGTCATGTGATGTTAGAAGCTGGAAAAGGGCTTCAGCTGGTTTGTTACTCTTTATACTGAGGGACAGGAAACATTACAGTGTCTGACTGAACTCGGCTGTCTTTTAATATCAATACAGTTTATGGAAATAGATGAATTTGATGAGTTTACCTGGGCGAAGTAGAGTCTCATCTCTTTGCCGTTGAAGTCGGTCTTATGCAGTCGCAGTCTGGCCTCGGCTGCAGCCAGAGCATCACTGAAGCTGATCCTGACCCTCCGGAAAGACCTGAAGTACTGGAACTGGACCTCCGGGTCGAACGAGCGGAACAAGGCCTCAAAACTGGTCTGAGAGGAGGTGGGGGGAGGAGACTGAGATGATGATTGAAATCAGGCGGGGGGGAGATCAGGAACTGCTTCTTTCTCTTCTCATCTAAAAATACTGCACTGAGCCAGAGGAGCATGAACACAGATACAGACTTTAAGTCTCCATGAATAAAAGTGATAAAAATAGACTATTATAAGACACTATATCTGTCGCTTCTCTTTGCTCAAGGCAGCCTGTGGTCTGTGTGTGTTGCATGATGGGAGACTGTGTCTGGCCAAGTCTCGTTACAGAAGCTCATTAAGAGAAAAATGAAGCAGACCTTGGCTGCCGTTTCCAAAAGGCCACAGCTGATAGCTGCACTCTGACCAATCAGTGTGAGGCTCAGTAGGTCAGTGTGTTCACAACAACACCAGTCATACCAATGCTGGAGCTCAGCGTTTCCCGCAGAACAGCCTCATCAACGACACCCTGCCTCAGCTAACTGCTGCAGTGACGCAGACGCCTTCGTTACTGTCTTGTCTCATCAAGCTCTTCAACAACATGATGCAGTCGTGGACATTTTAGGAAACTCAAGAGGATGAATGTCAGAATATCAATACAGCACATATCAATATTGATCTGTGTACCAGACACACATGAAGCTATGTTCTTCTTCTTTAGTCTGAGAGCTGAAAAACCTCAAAGGTGTAACAATGGTCTCATTTTTTTACACTTTACACCATCACATCTAATAATCACATATGTATGAACAAATGTATGAATGTGTTCATGTGTGAAGACTGAACTGCATAAACAGGGGTATTCAATTAAAATTCAAAGAGGTTCAGTTGGGCTAAATTTCCTCAAGCTGAGGTCTGGAATGTCTCCTATAAAAATGAAGTGTTCTTTTTTCATTTCAAGAAATAAAGTAAATAAATAGCAAGTAAATAAAAATGCTCCATTTTTATACAGCTCTTATATACCACTTTCCACACTTATTTCTCCCATGTTGTTTCTCGTCTCTCCTGTGTGTGTTTCTCACTCACTGACAAGTCACAATCATTGGCTGAGGAGCTGTAAAGACTAGAAAATCTGCACCAGTTAAAAACAAACACCCTGACAAAATGTAATGACTCTCAATAATTTATAGGTTAGAGGTCCAGGTCTGGACAGGGCAGCATCTGGGTCTGGATCACTCACTGGACTCACTGCTGTTGTGTTAACTTTATATCCCGGAGGTCACTAATAGGTGACAATTCAAAGATGCAAGTTTACAGTAAGTCGATATGAAGTTGCTCCGGTGTGCCGCCCCTAGAGGCAACGATGCCTTCAAGGAATTTGAACATTTCGACTTTTGACCTCCGTTCATGAAAATGCAGAGACATGAGTAAGAGGAGAAGGTGTGTGAGGGGAAAGAGGGCTTCTTTTATCTGATTAATCTGTTGTCTAAAAATCCACAAAACAATATAACAACATAATAATGTGATTGTTTTATGTTTCAGGTATAAGCATCAAACAGCAGTTTTATTTGTCACATGCATAAGGTAAAAAACATTGTGAAAAATAGGAAATATTGTGATATTATCTAAAATATAATATTTCAAATGTCTTGTCAGCACCAAGGTAGGAAACAGACATTTGCAATAATATGACGTAAACAGAACATCCACCAAAACCTGATGTTTTAGATCAGTTTTGTTCATTTAAAGATGCCGAAACTTCAGCGTTTACTGCAGCACTGTTGTATCAGACTGCATTCGTTTTAGCTAGGTGTTCCTAATAAACTGGAGATTTCAAAATGTCAAATGTTGTAGTGCTGCAGTCATCATGCAGAGTATCTGATAAAAATAGCTTTCCACCAGTCATCCTCGTGCAGAGATCAGTCAGCATGTTGTTCCTACTGCAACACAACAGCAGTGAGTGACTGAGGACTGTGTCAGGTGGACGGAAAGCAGGAAGACACACATTATATTATATTGTACCAAATCTACTATAAAGGTTTGGATGGATTCCTGTAATCCTGGTCAAATGTAGTTTTTGTTCATGGTGGTTAACAGACAGAAATTTAATCTGCATCATTTTTTGTATAATTGATTAATTGTTCAAGTAATTTTTGATCTAAAATATCAGTCTCCAGCTCTCGAAAAATTAACTAAAAAAGAAAATAAAGGTGCAGTTGTTTTAAAACTCCATATTTAAACTTGTCATTTCTTGTATTTTGATGTGTTGATCCATAAGAAGATATATTTGTGGTTTTAACAACCAAAAACCACCTCAATGTAGTTTTACATCTCTTCCCTCTGGAACTTTAGTAACAACAGGTCAGTGAGACTGGCTGACTGTTTTCTGAGTGATCCAACAAAAATATAGCAGATTTCAGGTAAACACTCATAGAAACCAAATCCTGCAAGGTTGGATGGTGGATCCAGGTGGGTGGGGCTTGGGGCTCAGAAGAGTGACTGCTTTGTTGTGACATCACAAAGTTCCAGAAGTCCTGACAGCTGGTTTTGAGGCTCGGTTTCTGAATATACTGTAGGCTGTGTGCATTTCTCTGTGGACTGAGCGCTTTGATACTTTCACAGTATTAATATAGAACTTTGCTTTATAATCAAACAACACATGGACAGAGATCTTTATACTATGTGGAGCTTTAATCATCCAAGACAGTGTAATTCTATAATAAGTTTTTATTGCCAGTGTCTACGACACCACCTCTCTGATTGCAGTCACTCTGGATATGTGGACAGATGAACACCACACAGTCGTTATCTTTGTGTTTCTACATCACTGTAACTTAAACCCTATGACTTTAATTAACATTACAACTACAGGCTAGGTTGCAGGACTTGATTTGATTTAGAGATAACTGCAGCTCAGATGTTCTTGTCCTTGATGTGTATTTATGTTATGAATAATTCACTGCAGCCCTTATTCACACTGACAAGAACTCAGTTCAAGGAAAACTAAACTTTAAATTCAGAGATAAACCTGACAACACAGGAGCAGCTTACCTGTGCCTCGGGACAGTTGAACACTTCCTGGTTGGTCACCGAGGCGACCAGGCAGAAGCGGTTACACTTGGTGGTCTTTATGTGCATGATGGGAGAACCCGGGAGACGAAACCTTCGCCACCTGATACCTGAGGTCAGGGCGCAGCGGGACGCCGACACAGAGGATGAGGGTGATAACGATGAAGAGGAAGGGGGGAGTCGGGGGGATCGGAAAAGCGTTGCCTTCCCCAGGGTGACAGGCGAGCAGGAAGTGATAGATGCTCCCCGACAGGAAACAGATCAGCTTTGATCCAGATCTGACTCCTCACACATGGATGTGTCTTCAGTGGACCAGACCTCCACGCTGTGGTCAGGAAACCTCCGTCAACACAGTCTTCTAACACACACCCCAAGGTTATTGACAAAGATAAAATCCAACATGGAGCTGGTGTCTGCTGGGCATTTTCCTGCCTCCTTGCTCGGCCCCAGTGAACGAACTCTGCAGCAAACTGATGGAATTTTCCAGAGATTTGGGTGTGGAGCTGAAAATGTCACTCAGCCTCTTCTAAGCTCTCTCTCTCTCTCTCTCTCTCTGCTACACAGCCGCTTAAATGAGCCCCTGCCAGTCGATGACGCACTACCCACAATCCAACCCTCCTCCTCTTCCTGGTGTCATTCACTCGTTCATTCACTGAGAGCCAATCGCCTGTGGGAAGGGGTGGGACAGCGTGTTTTTTTTCTGTCTGTCCCTCTGCTGAGAGATACGAGCTAATGCTGACTAATCAGACATAAAGAAGGCCAGTGTGTGACTGGAAATAATGACATCACCACCAGCAAACAGAAAGCTCTGATCTGCTTTAAACTCAATGCAAAAAAATCCTCTGATGAATGGAAAATATGTGACAATCAGCCTTTCACTCACATACCAGAGACTTATCAGCTGACTCCTGAGAGCAAGACAACGAGACACGTCAGGGTTAGTAAATATGGATGAAGCAGAGACAAAGAGAGAGACAGACACGACTGGGAGGAGGAATGTAGGACGGAGGGATGAAGGGAGGAAAAGAAAGAGGGGGAGAGAGCTGGAGCTCATGGAAAGTATGCAGTTTGATAACATGCTTTTATGAGGTATTAATAGCAGAGAGCTTGAAGTGGAGGGGAAGTGTGTGTGTGTGTGTGTGTGTGTGCGCGCGCAGTATGCAGTTGGAAAAACAAGGCTGTGAAGCCAATTCACCAACATTTGCACCTGTGTGTGTGTGTGTGTGTTTGTGTGAGAGAGGGAGAGAGATGAAGCTGAAGAGGACGACACAAAACACCTTAAGTTAAGATTTTCCTAAGTCTGAATGTCTGAATTAAGGTTTCCTTAAAATAAAAACAGTTGCACACAACACCCTCATGTTAAAAATGGTTGCTCAAAGCAGTTAAGATTTTCTGAAAATCTTTACTTAAGTATTTAAGGTTTTCTCCTTATCTTAGTCTTATACTAAAGGAATGACTTGAAGTCAGTAACTATTGTCCTAAAAATGTGTTTCAATCCGGTTTTCACAAAACAAACTAACCAAACATGAAAATTAGGAATCATTAATGAGTCTCATCATCCAGCTATGTTTCACTGGTTCCTGAAGCAGCACTTCCTCATGTGTTTTTTCATTCTCAGCACTCACTCACTCATTTGCTTTGTCTTTGGACTGTACGTGGGACCCGAAAGAAACTCATGCAGACATGGACACAACACTCAAACACAAAGGCCTCAGCTGAGTCTGGCCCCAGGACCCTCAGACTCTCAGGTGACAGGTGACACAGAGCTTAGTGACCTCACAGCAGACTTCAGCGACACCTGGCAGGTGTTCTGGTTGGAACATGCCGATCATAAACCATTAGACCAACATGTCACCACACTGCACATGAGGACTGTGGCCCAGTGACAGCAGGTGTTAATGCACAGTGAAATGACTCACAGCACTGTCCTGTGTGAGTGCGAGTGTGTGTGTGTGTGTGTGTGTGTGTCGCTGAATGGAAAATGTGTGTGCGGAAAATAAGGCGGTGTAATGTTGATGAGCCTCCCGACAGTGAAACTGATGCTCTCATGTTAGTGTTGTTTGTTGATGTTAAACATTACCGTGTGAGTGTGTGTATGTGTAAGTGCTAATCATCTCCAGACCTCAACCTCACCCTGGTGTGGCCACTGTGTGTGTGTGTGTGTGTGAGTGAGAGAGAGATTATGTGTGCACGCTCAGCCCTGCATTTTTTCCATCACGCTGTTTTTTTTTTCATCTTCCCATTTTTTCCATTCTCTCACTTGTCAGTGAGGCGGGCAACACACACACACACACACACACACACACACACACACACACACACACAGGTGTACATACTGGAAACAGTGTTGTGTTTCCAACCAGCTGCTGTAGTTTTATGGCATCATGTGCTGAGATGAAAGTTATGGTTCCACTAAAATAATAAAAGACTGATACTGGATCAGACTGGAGGGGGAGGGGCTATACTGGAGGGGGAGGAGTCAGACTGGCTTTTTGAGGCAAACACCAATATTGACACTAGTTACAGTTACAGTACAACTACAATATCTGATAATATAAACTAAACTCTCTCTGAGAAATACACTTGCTCACTTTCTTAATGAGAGTCAGAGAAGATTAAACGAATGATAAAACTGTCTTGTTCACAGACACACAGGCTCAACCCACAGGCGAGTTGGCAGCTGTCAGGTGAAAGTGACCTCCACTGAAGAAACCAGAGGCTTGGGGTTGAGGCCAACGAGGTGTTTGTTTTGGTCTGGGGTACTTGTGCGACATCTAGGTGGCAGTGACAGAACCTTTAACTCAAGGTCCTCTTACTAGCTTTTCCCACATTCCACAGTTCACTTCATCGATGGCCCTGCGTGAGAAAACCCTGTAGGGCTACCGCGATTAGTCGCCATAATCGACGACCTCGACATCAATATTTTATGTGGAAGATTTACTGAGTTGACAACAACTATCACTGAACTTTACGTTACTGTAAGTGCAATAAAAAGTAAAAGGCCAATAAGAACTTTATCCAACCACTTGTTCAACAAGCAACAAACAGAAAAGAGATATTTTCATCTGTTTCCTCCATGACTCCCGGTGTCTTTATTCACACTGGAAATGCTACAATGAAGGCTGTCTGTATGTGACTCTAACTGATCGTCTTAGTTTACCACAAATCTTAAAACATGGCAGATTGTTGGCTGAGACAAACCAAACCAATCAATTCAAATCCTGTTCTGAATGTATTCTTTTATTTTAAAAAGGAACCAGTAATAGTCTGAACTGGATGAATAAGTGTTTGGATAAGATAAAGATAAAATCAGCTGGTTTATGTCTAACTTTGGAAGGATGAGCACATCACAGTTCAAATTCCCTCACTATTAGTCCTGTTTAACCAGTGTTATTTTGTGATTATTATTTTTTTATGGCGCACAGTGAGATCAGTCACAAGCATGTGAAGGATTACTTCATGTGTAAGGGTTGTCTGTTCATTAGTATACAGAGCTTTTTAATATTTTTTGTCCTTGTATCTGATAAATACTCTCATAAAGTTATAAAGTCGTCTGCTGCTGCCTGAGAATTTACACTGAATAAGTGTTTGAGAAAATGTCTAGCCAAGAGTCTGGGATTACTGAGTGTAATTTGGAATTTTTGGAGGAAAATTAATCGTTTAGATTAGGGCTGGGACGATTATCCGCCTAATCGACGTTGTCGATTATAAAAATTATTCGACGTGGAATTTTAGTGTCGACGCGTCGTGTAAAACCACACAGGGTAAATGTTCATAGAACAAAACCGGAACTTTCTAATGGGACCGTTTATATCCATCGTCTTTGGTTTACCCGGATACAAGCGCAGCGCAAGGGCTGGGACAACGCGGTGACGTAATTGAAGTCATTGACTACGTGAATGATTTGCGTCTGTGTAATCTATTTGAACAACATGGCGGCGTCTACCAGCAGTACGACGGAGCGTGTGGAGCAACACGCGGCAAAAAAGGCTCGCACACGGTCCTCCAAAGTTCGGGAATACTTTAATCTTGACACCAACAGTGCGGTAGTCTGCAGACTCTGCAAAGTGCATCTGGCATATCACTCTAGCACGACAGTCATGTCAAGTTAATAAAAAATAATCGTTAGATTAGTCAAATAATCGAAAAAATAATTGCTAGATTAATCGTTCGGGACAGCCCTAGTTTAGATTAATCAACTATTCAATAAAAACAGTTGATAGATTAATCGTTGCAAAAATAGTCAGTGGCAGCCCTAAAACCTTGCAGAGTTTTCCGGCATTTAAGTTCAACCTTGCTGGCTTAAATCCTCATTTTTACTTGTTGGTGGACTCAACCTCTGAACAGCTCTGTGATCCATCCTGCCACGAAGACCGGTTTCATCCAGAGAGGTGTTGGCTTCCAGAGGTCTGACTCCACTGACGGCCTTGTGGCTTTAACAAAAGCCCACAATCAGAGCGAGAAAACAGGGCCTGGAGCACCATGACACATCGGAGCCTTTCCCACTCCACCTCTGGACAGTAACAACAGTAAATGAAGATAATACGAACTCTGAGTCAGTGCACGTACAATAACACAGAACCACTCACATTTTCCACTGGACCTGAAGCTTCTCTGCCTGATGTGGGTGATTTTTCCATCAGCTTCCTCTCCCTCCATCTTTATTTCACCTGTTTATCCTGTTGTGTAAAACAAACACGGCTAATCACACAGTTTTATCTTGATCTTAAGTAAGTCTTGATGCTGGAACTGGGCGTGCCCTGCTGGAAAACTCCATGGAACTTCCATGACTTTCCAGACCCGCATCAGTTTTCCCAGACCTGAATCTGGTCTTCCATGCTGGTTTAATAATGCTGTCAGCTTCCTGCTGCAGCTCAGCTAAAAACTGTTTCACACTGGAAAATACTTTGTGCTTCATTCCTGTAAACGGACCTATCTGAAAAAGCTCTCAAAACTTCCTACAGCAACCCAACAGATGACTACACACCTGGACAAACCCACTATAACCTCATTCCGGATGAGGAACAATGGAGCCTGTCAGTGTTATTTTGTTTCCTTGTGTGAATGATCCCACCTCTCTCACTCAACATGAAGCACAAACTCATTCCTCCAGTGTTTTAAAGAACATCCACACAGCTTCAGTGGAACACTGAGCCGTCCAATCCGTCGGTGACCCTCACGTCGCTGCGGACATGCTGTGGAAACGCAGCAGGCTCATGGAAGAAGAAGAAACCAGGTGACCTCTGCCCCTCTCCTCTGTTGTTTTCCCTTTTCCATCAACATCAGTGAACCTCTACAGCCCATCAGGAAGCACTGGATCATCTCCCTGCCCTGTGCACACACATGTAGCTGGTAAACTGTCCGTGTGTGTATCAGCACGCGTCATTCAGTTCAGCCCTGAATGTTATGTCTGGTTGTGCCTTGGAAATACAGATGTTATATAAAGAAAACCAGGAACACCTTTCCAGACATGATTCTGGACCCTGCTGCATCTACTGAAATCTATTGTGTTAACAAGAGGGAATTCATTTACTGACAATATTCCAGTATAAAAAACAACATTTCTCAGTGATTTTGACACTGAAATGAAAG